ATAATTTTTTAAATATAAATTCATTGACAAACACTAACTTGTTAACGCTAGTTTCGTATTCCGATAAGTATTTTCTTAATTTAACTCACATATTTATTACATACACCGGGGAATTGTCCTTTCTCTAGTTTACCTCCTATATCGCAAGAAGAGCTCGATTACATTCCTCCATGCTTTTTGTCTTTCGATAGTGCGCCAGGCATTTCTACCGTTGCCGAAGAACATGAAGAAGAGAAGGATGTCATCATTGAAATATCCCCAAAAGTTATTCTCACTGAAGGGGTGGTTCAAGAAGAATTCTTTAATTCTGAATGTTTAAAAATTGAATTTGTCATTCCATATGATGAAGAAGTTGAAATCTTCATCTTGAAATTTGAGAGATATTGTGATGGTAAACTCGGTGATTATGACAGGACCATGATGCTCTCTTTTGGATTGGGTCCTTATTGGGAGAAAGTCAAAATTAAAAGAATGAGAAGATCATCAAAGTCATTATTTAGAGTTCCCTAATAGACATTCTCGTCTGGCTGAAGACGTTAAACTTAGCGCTTGGTGGGAGGCAACCCAATGTTTACTGCTTTATTTTTTATTTTTTTTTAGTTAGTTATATTTTTGGTTTGTTTGATATTATGTTCTTCTTTCTTGCAGAACAGTACGTGGAGAGATTTACATGACGAAGAATATATTTCGAGATATATACCAAAAGTTGTCACCTCTCTAGTAATGTTTTGTGAGTTGTCTCTATTTTACTTTTATTGAAATTCTATTCTTCCCTTATGTGCTTCATATAATTTCATTCAAGTTTGGGGGGAGATGTGATATTTGATTTGAGAACTTTAGAGAGAAGATAACAAGATATTTTACATTATCTTTCATATCATGTAGTTGCATGTTAGGTTTATTGCTTTAGCACGTTTATTGCTTTCATAGGATTTTAATAGTTGTAGTTGATCTACTTGGATTCACCTCGATGAGTTTTTTTGTGCATATTTGATATGGAATTCGGGCGTAATGTGCTAGGTGATGGAATTTGATGATGAATTGAGTTGTGAATTTGAATGATTGGTTGATGTTTTTGATCCATGAATACATGATCCTTGTGAGCTTTTGAGCCGTATATTTTGTTGATTGAGTGTATCGTTCATTGTTAATGGAATTCTAGAACTTGCATTGGTATCTATGTCGAGACCACATGGTGTGTGCATTTTTGTGAAAATGATCTAAGGCATATTTTTTTTGTTTGAGCCTTTTGACCTTTTAGCTTACCGATTGATAGTTATATTCCCTAGTTAACCCTTTTGAGCTTTTGCCTATTTTCTTGAAAGCCACATATTGAGCTATATCTATATTTTATCCTTGTCCTTACTTGAGCATTTAGGATTACATTATGTGAAAAGAGAATGAGTGTTTTGTTGTGGTATGAATAAAGGGATGAATAGGGAAGGTTGATGATGTAAGTTTAAGGTTGATGAGCTTATGGATATTTGTAAAAAAAAAAATAAAAA